CAGACTGGTAATTCCACAATTTGCAGGGCTGTGTGGCATTCTCACACTAAGGCATGCAGCAGTGCTCTCCACACTACTAATCTGCTGGCTTAGCCAGAGGTTAGGCCTGTGAATTTAAGCCTGGTTACCACTGCTGCAATGCAGCTAAGCTGGGGTTTCCAGGATGGCCCCTACAGCAAGAGCTGTTGGAGAGTGACTGGCTGGGGATGGAGATGGAGTAGAACTGCTTGGGTCTCGCTGCAGGACAGGCAGAGGTGCTGTGGTGCTGTCCTCTGGTGCTCCCAAATACCCTCAGTTGCCAACACCCAGCCCCAGGCACCTTTGAGGAACTGGCTTTTCAGAAAGCAGAGAGCAATGCTTGAGTCTCCTGACACCCCCTGTGTGCCCCGGGCCCTGCACTACGTGCATTAAGGAGAGCCAGAAGGGAGAAGGTGCAAGGGGACATGCATGTGTGAGGAGAGAAAGAAAAGGAAATGAAAGTGATGGTGACTGTGTCCACACGGGTGAAACAAAGACCAGTGCTTGCTGCAGATGCACGTAGGAGATTGGTACCCCAAGAAACAGCTTTCTGAAGGAGGGGACAGCCGGTCAGGGCTCCCCTGGTGAACAATCTCTCTTGTTTAATGGACAGTTTGGCACTAATCAATATTTGTTTGTGGCATTATCTTCAGTTTGCTAAGCTCCTTGCGGCTTTTTGCCTTCCCTCGGTGGTTAACCACCTCCCTCTCCCGAGTCCCCGGGGGAGCGCAGAGGGACAGGGGCTGGGGCCGCAGGGGGATGTGGACGTTTGAAGAGCAGGGAGATGCAGCAGATGTCGGTGGCCAGGCCTTTTGTTCCTTCCACTTGCCAGCCTGAGCTCTGGGGCCACCTTTTTGTTTTTCTCTCTCCATTGTCATTCACCAAGGAGGGGATTTTCAGGAGTTAGCCTCACACCACCTCCGAGACTGCCCCCATCTTCTGATTGCTACTTAGATCACTTTCCATTTAACATTAAAAAAAAAATAACAAACCTGACACATTTAATGCAAAGCACTTAAAATCAGCTAGTGTCTTACAGGGCTGATTCATCCCAGGGTGCACAAGTCAGGTACAGTTTCTGTAATCCTTTGCCGTAGGGGATGCAGTGACAATGAGCCCCCAGCCAGGGAAGCCACGCTACAGCTACTGCTTAAGCCAAACTGAGTGAAAAAATGTGGGTACTTATTGCACATAGTGTATTCATGGGAAATGTTGCTGCCATCCTGTATCTGATGATGGCAAGAAGGGAATGGGAGAGGCAGATCTAGTGCAACATGCAGAGCCACAGCCTGGTCCCTCAGATAGCTGCAGGGACATCCTGCTTTCTGCAGCGTAAGCTCAGAAATGGCCAGCAGGAGCATCAAGTACAGTGGCTGTTCAGGAGCAACGTAGCAGCTGGGGCTTCCCTGCCAAAGGACTGAGCTTTTACAGTTGGCTTGGTCACAAACATTATCCCTTCACTTGAACTTACAGTGCAGCCTCCTTCATGCACGTGGCTTTCTACACCGCACAGTCATCCTGGGAAGCTGCCAGATGAAAAAGCGCAGTGTGCACACATTGCCTCCCTCCCCCTGCTTCTGATCTGCGTGTATAAATACTGAAAACCCCGCTCCTGGCTGAGCTGGCTGGAGCTGCTCATTCACCAGGATGCCAGCAGCATGGCCACAGAAGGTGCAAGTAAATGTGCAGATGCCTAGGGAGGAAAACCTCAGCTGACTGGAGGCACACAGGGTACGTGTACACTGCAGGGGCATTCCCTAATCTAAATCTAATATCCCCTAAACCCTCTCTGGCAAGGGCAGCAATATGTTTGCAGTGACAAACACTACATTTTCCTTGCAGGTGACAAAAATCTGCCAGCGGCAGCTCAGCCTGCCCTCCCTCCTGCATCCTGCTGCTTTATTTCCTGCTTCCTGCTGCTTTACTTCTCCCCACCCTGCTGTGAAGTGTGCTGCTGGGCAAGCGCCACCCCTGCTGCCCCCAGCCCCAGCACAGCTGGGACTCGCTATTCAGAAGGGAGAGGAGGATGCTATAGGGTAGTTAAATACCTTTTTTAGTGCTCAATCCGGATCCATCATCTTGCCTGCAAGTGGGGGTGAACTCAATCCAGAACTGAATGGCCTCAGCTTCCATGAACTGCTGGGACACTTAAGGACCGATTCATCAAGACACTGGCTGCCTTTGACTTCTAATGCAGTCAGCTGCTACCCAGCAGGACAAGGGCTAGAATTCCCAGTAAGAGACAGTTTGACTCTGTAACGACCTACAAATGACCTGAAAACACCCTTCACGCATTTGCTAGTACCTCAAATATACAACTCCAACCAACATATATGGCAGAAAACAACCTATAGCCCGTTAGTGTACACTACGGCATCCAATAATTTATTTTCATCCTCTGCATGAAGTATAACGATCTTAATAATTAGCATCAAAATTTACATATACAGGTTTAATGTGCAAGACAACCAATACCTTCAATTTCAAGTACAAGCAAAACCCTTCACATACTTTTTTACAGACAACTCACTCATCAGGAGGGTGCTAATATTTTAGTACAAGATATCTGGGTGTTCTTCAAGCAGAAGAAAATTCACACAATTAAAAGCACTACAGAAGATGCACCACTCCAGTAAATAAATAACCTTAATTCACAAGAAACAATGAGATCACCTGCATGGGAAACTAACCAAGCCATTCCTAGGCACAAGATTTCTTTCATTACTAGGTAGTTAATGAATATTGAGTTATTTATGGGACCGAACCAGCAAAGCCTTCACGTGCAGAATTCACATTTCTGTTGGCCAGGGTTTTCTATGCTTGGAGAAAAACACCTCCATGCACGCAGGCAGCTGGAGGCAAGATTCAGTTCCCCCACCTGTACTTTAGCATAGTTTGTAGACATAAATACTGTGATAATGTTCTGCTCAGGAACTATTTTTTTACTATTTAGAGCTCACCAGTTCAGCCCTCAATATGTACAAAAATACAGCCTGTTCTATTATAGTAATATTTGGTATTAAAATAAGCAAAAAAATTCAGAACAAAATGTCATCTTCATTCTACACTAAAACCTACATGTATGTACAATACTAACGGCTTGCTTATTTCAGATACTGCCTAGTGCTGGGCCTCAATATTTTGCTTACAAGTAAGTGGTTCTATAAATATTTTAAAAATATTTTTACCATGAAAACAATGAGAACAGAGCAACTTAAGGTACAATAAACCATATAAAAATTAGTGCAAATCAATATATTTATAGATACAGTATCTGCATGGCATAATTAAATGTGCAGGTAATATTTTTTTCTGTTCTATGCCATTTTTAAAGGTTGGCACAAAATAAAAACTTTTCTCTCTTATACATATGTGCAAAGTCCTTGCTAATCCTAGCTGATCTAGGATATTAAGAGAATCTCATCATCCCAGTAACATCAAACTACCTGTGTTCACCAACAAGTTCCAGCAGGGGCTTCATTATCCCTCCGGGATGCAACACACAGTCCCACTGACACAGGGAGCCCATCTCAGATGCACAGCCACCTGCCAATCATGGTGGCCACTCAGTGATAAAAAAGGACTCCCTATACTCAGTGGTCCTTCAGTACAGGCTTTTTGCTAAGCTTTCATCTCCAGCTGAGATTTCACATTGCCAGGGAATGCCATTTTGTTAGGGATTCTTAAAAATTTTGAAAATACTTTGCAAAAATCAGGGTCTAAACAACTAGGATTTTACACTGAAATTCCTTTATCCATTGTAATATGCTCTTGAGACAGCTTTGATCTGGGTCAAAGTTTGTTGGTATGAAAGGACAGGATGTCTGGGGCGTTAGGAGTTCTCCTCCTACTCAGAGTACAAAAGAAACAAAACCAGAGCTTTCAAGAAAAGGATCACGGGATATGTCTTCTCACCCACAGCCAAATGAGCAATTCTTGCTATAGCAAAAAAACCCCATCACTTACGATCAAAGACTTCCCTTTTGCTAAAAAGAAAACAAAACCTGCACAAATCACTCCTGACTTGCTGGTATGGTCAGTGAGAAATAGAGGGTGACAACTTCTAGTCTTCCCATGGAGGTGAAGGCTTTCCTGGAGGCCGGGGAGGGAATTTCATGTGCAGAGAGGTATACGGGCTGAGAAGTCCTGGTATCATCTATCTTACACTTTCAAATTTAGGATAAGTTACGGGAGTGCCACTACAGCAGCCATCCTCCGCAGAGCCAGGAGGAAGCAGAGGAGCCCAGCCTTCATGTCAGGACTCTCCATGAAGGCCCACTTGGCCAGAATGAGAGACAGGTTCAGGGAAATTCAGCCAGATGAGCCCACTGGTGGGATTGTGCCTGCTCCTGGCCTTTGCCAAGCCCTCAGTGCAATGCTGCTGTAAGGCTACTTGTGACCCACTGAGACCTCACTGGTGCTTGGGAGTATCTACATTTGATCCTCTAGACTCTCCACTATCTCTGATAGCTGTCATGACAGCCTGCAGCTATCTCATCATACCCTGGGCTAACCAGCATCCAGCATCCTCTGGAAGAGCTGGTCTCACTGCCCTGGCGCTCCCCATGTCCCAGCAACTGAGTGAAGGAATTAAACAGCCCTAGGATAGTCCAGCAGTCAGTGTCTCTGAGGCAGTTCACATTTCAATAGGGCATCATTAGATTGCAGGTTAAGGGGAAGAAGACCCCATACCTGGTCATGCGTCCAAACAAAACAAATAGGTTAAAATTGTCTTTGGAAAATGCACTTGATAAAAAAAAGCACGTTGGACTTCATTCACCCCAGTGTGACAGCAGGGTACACAGGTGAGAAACTCCTGTCCCCTGCACTCAGAAATACGCCCAAGGTCCAGAGACTGGATGTACCCAGAGTCACTGTGAGGGTAAACATCACCTGCGGCGTGCACACAACCACGCACGAACACATACACATAGACCGATACACACATGGGCTGGTCCAGGATGGGTCCATGGGGTTCTTGACTAATGAGTGGCATGAATCTTCATGTGGAAGTGGTAATCCTCCTGTTCTGGGAAGTGCTGGCCACACACTGAGCAAGTGCAGCCCTTCTCCTTGCTGTGCGTGCGGCGCACGTGACTGTCGTGGGCTGCGTGTGAGGCAAAGGCTTTGCCGCAGTGCTTGCACTTGAAGGGCTTCTCCCCCGAGTGCTGGCGGATGTGAGTGCGCAGGATGCTGGATGCCGTGAACGCCTGAAAGGGCAGGGATCAGAAAGGGGGGAGAAGGAGTTGAAAGTAATCTATTTTCACATATGTAATCCACAGGTTCAGCTAACCCAGACCCCATCAGAAGCACAGCACCCTGACAATAAGTCCTCAAATAGCTCACATCCTCTGATAGTTGGAGAAAAAACGAAAACTCCCAGCAACAAAGAACCAAAAGCTAATAGCCATCCCACTCAGCTTTAGAGATATGGCAGAGTCCATGGAGTTAGATGAAGCTGAGAGAGATATTTCTTAACCAGAGACACCAGTAAATATCTTCTACATGTCAAAGGATAAGAAGTCAACTTTCCTAATTAGCTTTGCAGCTCCTTCATGTTTGGGAGACATAATGCAGGTTCATTTTCAGAGAAGCCCTTTCATGTTTACATACACTGGCTTGGGATTCAGCTGCCAGAATTCAACCACGCAGTGAGTCCAGCATCCACCTTTTCAGGTTTAATTTTCCCTCTCCATCATGCTCTGGTCTTCCTTCACTCAGACATTCCAGCTCGTTTTCCCCCCTCAGAAGTAGCAAAACGTGCACAGTCACACTCTGTCCCCCTGAAAGACTCCTGCATTTGTGAAGAAAACCCTCTCATCA